ATAAAAATTCAGCATGCAGACAGGAGCAACAGTACAAAAATGGACGTCCCTTGAACCATATGCAGAAAGCCATTTGCCTGCCTACTATAGCATTCACAAGCATTGAACCATGGATTGAGGAAAACTGCCCAATGAAGTAGGGATGGCTGCAGAGGTTGCAAGATAAAATACATAACTCTCACTACTTCATCAAGTGGCAATAGGGGGTAAAGTGTCTGTCTTCCTCACCAAGTGTTTTTACACTTTGACAGTGAGCTGACCCCATAGGTCTAGCCATCAGTCAAACTTGCCTTCAGTTGTAGTCACTGGGAAAATAACCATTAATGTTGCTGTTTTTCCCATTGGCTGATGGTACTTGGTGGAAGGGAAAACAAAGCCAGGAGAATCATTTTTCTTAAATTCTCCTGCATTAAATCCACAAAAACAACACCAATCACAAAGAAAATAGACCCCAACTGTCAGAGCAGAGCTATTTAAAACAGCATACTTTTCTGCTAATCCAAGAACTGGAAGAATGTGCGTTAGTAAACAGAGGTTGGGCATAGAATGAGGATTCACAAAATAACGATCCCTAAGATTATTGTTTCTTTTTTAAAATTTTATTTTTAGACAAACATACACAAACACATCATAAAAACATAAAGCCATCTTCCAATTACATACATACAGTGTGTCGGTTGGTTACAAAAAAAATTGTGCATCCTCTCCATAGTCCTCACTTACAATTACTTGTATATATTCTCATATTATCAACCAGATGATGATGGAAGATCTTAATGGTGGAAATAATGGACAATAATATGAAAACACTCCTGATAGCAATCTACGCTCCAAATGATAATCAAGAAGAATTCTTTAGAAAATTACATATGAAAATAATTGAATTGGATTATGTTAATATTTGTATGATGGGAGATTTCAATGGAATAGAAAAACTGGACTATACAACACAGAAAAACTGGACTATACAACACAGAAAACAATAAAGCAAAGTAGAAAGACTCTCCCTAAATCCTTTTTTAAAATGACAGATGAAATAAATTTAAAAGATACATGGAGAGAAAGAAATGCTAAGACTAAACAATACACTTTTTATTCAAACAGACATTCATCATGGTCTAGATTAGATGTGATATGGATGTCAACAGAATTGATTTCTAATATACAAGAAATTGACATAGAAACAAGTACCTGGGCAGATCATAATCCAATGATAATTAAATGGAAAGGACAAAGAAGATCCAGATGGACTTTAAATAATACTATATTAAAAGAAAAAGACTTTATACAGAAAATGGAGAAAGAATTGGCTTTTTTACCCAAAGAAAATAAAAAAGAAGATACATCAATGTAGAAACTGTGGGACACAATGAAGGCTTATGCCAGAGGCTTGATAATAGACTATACAAGGAAAAGAAATATTATGAAAAGGCAAGCCTGTAAGGTATTAGAGGGTGAGTATAAAAGACTTGAAAAAGAGTTACAGAAACTGCCACAGAAAAGGGACATTAAATTAAAAATGGATACAATTAAACATAAAATGGGATTAATGGAAAAAGAAGAATTAGCACAAAAAATTAGGGGTGCGAAGCAGAATTATTTAGAAGACGCAAATAAACCAGGTAGATGGTTAGCATATAAATTGAGAAAGGAGAATCAAGAAAAATATCACAATTAATAGATGATCAAGGCCAAGCTTGCTATGGAAGTAAAGAGAAGAAAAAAATTATATGAGATTACTATGGAAAATTGTATGAACAAGAGAATATAGATGATGAAAGATTTAAACAATACCTGCAGAATGCCAATCTACCCCACATACCTAAAGAGACAGAAATAATGTTAGAAAGTAACATAACGATGATGGAGTTAACTGAAACACTTAAGAAAAAAAATAATGGAAAGGCACCAGGTCCAGATGGACTTCCAGCAGAATTTTATAAGACATTACAAGAATCGTTGAATCTTCCACTGTTAGAAGTTATGAATGAAGTTATGTCAAAGAAGAGGATACCCAAATCATGGTCAGAAGCATATATTACACTTGTCCCAAAGGAGGACGCTGACCCACCACAAATTAAGAACTATAGACCTGTTTCCCTGTTAAACTCAGACTATAAAATCTTTGCTTCAATGTAGGCAGAAAGACTTAAAATATAATTTTATTCATCCTGATCAAAATGGGTTTCTGCCAAAGAGACAAATTAAAGATAATATGAGAATAATTCTGGACACTTTGGAATACTATGAGGCACATGCTGAAAAACAAATGGCTTTGATATTCTTAGATGCACAGAAAGCCTTTGACAATGTGAACTGGCGATTCATGTTATTACAGCTGGAACAGATGGGCTTTGGTAAGAAATTTATTCAAGCCATAGAAGCTATATATCATAAACAAACGGCAAAGGTAATGATGGAGGGAGAATTGATGGATTCTATTGATATAAGAAAAGGGACAAGACAAGGCTGCCCACTGTCACCTCTGTTGTTTGTGTTAAAAAGAAATATTAGAGAAGAAAAAGATATAAAAGGGATGGAAATTAAAAAGGAAGAATTTAAACTACAAGCATTTGCAGAAGACCGGGTTTTCATTTTAGACGATCCATTAGAAACAGCATTTAAACTGATAGAAACGATAGAGGCATATGCAAAAGTAGCTGGTCTGAAAATAAATAAAGATAAAACGAAGATCTTGACAAAGAATATGTTAGTAAGATAAAAGGAAGAATTGGTGGATGTTTTGAAAATCCAGGTCACAAATAAGGTTAAGTACTTGGGGATACATTTGACAGCAAGATGTAGCACACTTAAAGAGAATAACTATATTAAACTCAAATAACAGATTTTGAAAGATCTGGCAAAATGGGAAAATTTACAATTATCATTAATAGGGAGAATATCAACAATTAAGATGAATATATTACCTAGAATTTTATATCTGTTTCAAACAATTCCAATTAGGCTAAGGAAAGACTACTTTGAAGATTTAAATAAAATAGTGTTGAAGTATATATGGCAGGGAAAAGAAAGTGAGAATAAAATTAAAACCGTTGCAAGAAGCTAGAATAAGAGGAGGATTTGGCCTGCCTAATTGGGAGTTATATTATCAAGCAACAAACCTGATGTGGGTTAAGGAATGGATAACACTAAGAAATACTAGATTGTTGACATCAGAAGGACATGATTTATTGTTGGGGTGGCATGCCTTCCTATGGTACAAGGGAATTAAAACACAGGGGTATTTTAGAAGACATTATATACGTGAGGCTTTGTTACTAAACTGGGAGAAGACTAAAAAGCAATGTTATTTAAAAATTCCAGTCTGGTTATTGACTATTGAAGCATTTTCTTGTGCTATAACATATAAAAAGGAACAAGCAGTTAGATATGGTGAAATATTGAATGAAAAGGGTGAACTTAAATCTATGCAAGAACTAGAAGAACAAGGTATAAAGATGAACTGGTTTTCGTATGTATAAATACACTCTATACAATAACAATTTTAAAACAGAAAGTTTTTATGATAAATTGACTGACTTAGATAAAATTTTGACAGGTACTGATGAAAAGGTGATTAAAAAACTGTATGGACATTTATTAGAAATTAAGCTAGAAGAAGAACAAGTTAAAGAAACAATGGTTGCTTGGGGGAAAATTTTGGATATGGGATTGACTTAGAGAAATGGCAAAAATTGTGGTCTTAAAATTATAAAATGACAATGTCAACAGCATATAAAGAAAACTTGTATAAGATGTTTTACAGGCGGCACTTACCCACAACAAGAATAGCAAGAATGTTCAAGAACAAATCTGAAAAATGTTGGAAATGTCATCAGATACCTGGTTCATATTACCACATGTGGTGGACGTGTGCAGAAGCTAAAAGATATTGGACTAAAATCTACACATGGTTGGAAAAAATGACAAAAAAACACATAGACTTGAAACCAGAGATATTTTTATTGGGAATTTTACCTGAAATATACAGTAGGGAATTGAAATATTTGATTGGAAATGTATTAACAGTGGCTGGGATTGTATTTGCTAAAAATTGGAAAACTGTGGAAATACCAATGCAGGAGGAAGTTATTAAGAAAATAATGGAATGTGCTGAAATGAGTAAATTGACATTTGAAATTAGAGAACAAGATAAACAATTTTATAAGATTTGGGATCTATTCTATCAATGGTTAGAAAATAAAATAAGGTAATGAAATTTACAATATATGGAGAATAGAATTATATAGAATATAATACAAAGATGTATTATTATTGGATGGATTTAGAATAATAATATGAATTGTTATAATATAAATCAATTGAAAAATATGGAATATCTCGTTTAACATGAACAATAGTACACTCAAATGAATGTAACAATGATAATAATGTATTTAGAAAGATTATTGTTTCTTAAAGCTTACGTTTTGCTACAGATATTCACCTCGGTTAACATCGTCCCTTGAGTCTAAAATTTCATCCTTTATATTATCTCATGTCACCCCACCTTTGCTACAAATGATTTATCATTATCTGCATTTCTACAATATCTATAGGTTGAAGTCTTTAAATTTATTTTGGACTATAGAAAAATATCTTGAAAGTTGTGAGTTAATGTTACTTGAATAGTGTGATTGCAGATTTCAAATTATGTTTCCACAAGGTCAGGGAAGATAAGTGATTTCTATCTATAATTGATTGTCCCAGCATCTACTGAAAATACCTAGCTTCAATTGAGTATTCGCAAAATGCAAATACTGAACCGATAGTAATGCTGGTTGAATCCCACCCCTGCCTCAAGCAATTGTCACAACCAAAAATCGCTTTTAGGCACAAATATTTTCTGGCTGGTTAGTTGACCTGGGCTTTTTTGTCATCTTATTAACTATTGACTTAATAGAGAAATCATCTTTTTTGTCCCTCTCCCTGGAATGGATCCCTGGAATCCATTTTAGGAAACTATGATGTATTCCAGTTCTCACATTCTTCTCACTTACCTGGGTTGACTTGAGTTTTCACAGCAGTTGGAATATCCAGTAGCAGCAGGAGTAGCCAAGGCATCAGTCTCTGAGAAGGAACCAGCATCTTCGAATATTCCCTCAGCCCTTTACTAAAAGAAGAGAGTCAGAGTCTACAATTAATAAAATACTTATTGTGAGTAAAGCAATAATGGGTGACTTTGACAGCAGGGATTTAAGTTTCTTTTGACCTTAAAATTATGTTAATAAAAAAAAACCCGGTAGTCATTAGATATATATAAGAATGTGTATCAGGGACTGCTAGCAGTTGTAATGGTAGCCAATTTGAATGGTTTAAAAAGAAAATGATACAGTTTCATAGAGAATAAGCCATTAATGGTTACAACACTGATAAATACAACATTTATTATCTCTTGAATCATATGCAGAGTATCTTCAATATTGTTTTCTGGGAAGCACCATGGAAGGAGCCTATCTCCTTTCAGTCCAGGCTGAAAGATGACATGCATGAAAGTGTGCTGTATGTATGCCATCCTTTCTCTCATACCTAGGTGTCCCACCAGATCAGCCAATAGTGAGCACCTGCAGGACTTCAGTAAACTGGGTGGCTGGCATGGCACCCAACTGAGGGTTTAACATGTAAGAGAAGTGGTGGAAGTAAGTAAGTTAAGTTTTTATGAGCAGTATTGAGCAGTGTAGTGGCAGATCAGTTTGACAGAATCTGTACAGTCATTTTCCCCCCTGAAGTTTTGGGTTCTTTTTTACATTGTAAATTTTAATAATTTGTGTGGGATAGTATTTTTTACTGAGTCCTTGTGCTAAAATCTTTTCCTCAAATGTTAAACACTTTCCTTACCCAGGGAGCCTCTCCTGGATTGGCTAATTTAAGTAGGCTAGTATTAAAGAACTACCTATTTAAAATGGCTGGTTACAGGCAATATATTAATTATTATATGAAATAGTTAGGGGAAGATCCCTGCCAGACAAAGTCTGCATGAATACTCCTTTCCTATATCCAATTCAGTTGGATGAAGACAAGTCAGCTATGTTATTTGTTTGCATGTTTGCTTGATTACAAGGTTTCTATGCTACTATGGACCATTAAATGACCTATAAAACCATCTCCAATAAGAGAAATAAAAACACTACATAACAAAGAATTTATCAAAATAATAAAATTGCAATTACGTTCACTTTACACTAAAGAAATAATCAAGTGTATACCCCAATGGGAGTAGGGTGGGAGAGCTCACTTTCCACAGCAATTCTTTTTGTTACCTTGGGAGTAACAAGTTACCTTGGGAGTTACCTTTACACTATTAGAGCCGTGATGGCGAACTGATGGCACGCATGCCAGAAGTGACATGCAGACCCACTTCTACTGGCATGTGAGAGGTCGCCTGGAAGAGCCCCACTGCGCATATACGCCCGCCGCCCACCCGCACTGCTCGCCAGCTGATTGTTGGGTATCTGGCATGTATGCGCAGGGGGAAGTTCCATGGGAGACATGCATGCATGTGCAGAGATGCACAGTGTGGGTGGGGGTCTCTTGCACATGCACAGATATTCACGGCACATGGGGTGGTCGCGCACACATGCACAGGGGGCGTGGGGGGGGCAGCACGCATTGCCTCCTGGGTGCACGCACGTGCAATTTTCAGCACGGGAGCCAAAATAGGTTAGCCCCCATTGCATTAGAGGATAAAGGACTGCTCCAATTGGCTTTCTTAGAACTCTTGGCAGGTTTTGATACCATTGTCCACAATATTCTTCTGGATCTTTTTTTCACAAAATTGGATTACTATAACATAGCATAATGGTCATGCACCCACAGTGTAAAGACCAGACTCTCTCTCCTTCAGACAATAAGAGTGAACTTGGGTATTTCAAAAGAAATTCTTTATTGAAAAGGAAGACAGCAAGTCAAATTCAAAACAGGGTCTGATATCCCTCCAGGCATGCAGCTTAGATAAAGGGAGTTAAAACCCCTCCCCTTAGTCCAGTGTGGATTTTGTCAATACAAAGAAGCAACATGTTAATTCCCCCTGCTTTTTTTCTGGGAACGTAGTTGAGAAGAGATTCCCAGGAAATATCTTTTGGAGATGGAATTTTTATGGCCCCTTCTCTTCTTGCTATCTCTCCAAGAGGTGACAAGTTTCCAGGCATGGGGGAGGGGGGGGCATCCAGCCCACAGATATAAAGCAGTACAAGGATTAGGATATTCAGGTTACATCAAAAAGGATTACTTGTATCCCCCCACTTCTTCTTCCATTGAAGAATGGCAGATACATAGATCTGAGACACAGTATGTTACAGAGTTTTATCTTGTCTATCTTGTTCTGCGGTTACACTTTACTGACCGAAAGATCAATAATGTGGAGATCATAGATAGTCCTTTTGCTATTTTCACCTAATTTCAAAAATGAACCGAATGTTTCTGAACATTGGCTAAACTCATTAATGGGTTGGTTGAAGGTGAAGAGTAAGAATGAACAGAACTGATTTTGCTCAGTTACAGTCAGGCAGAGGTCAGATACTGAATTTGTTCTGGAAGAGGACTCTCTGAAAGACCAGGGTCACTTATGTAGGAGTACTCCTGTAAGACAAGAAGAAGCACAACTTGGGGGCAGAGTCAAGAGGGGAATCAGTCTGGAATCCTTATGTTGCCATAAGAGATCCAAGACGAGCCCTACCTTGAATTCCATTGACTCTTATCTAGCAGTAATTTAGTACTGGCCAATAGTTGACTATATTCTTGTGTATAGACCAATAGTTGACTATATTCTTGTGAACAATACATCATATTAAATGGAACCTATAGTATGATCCTGATTTTTCATGCCTGACAATCTTTGGTTCTACGCTGTTCCTGGATCTTTAGGCAAAGAGTAATTACACGTAGTGCACCAATGTAACCATCCCTGAGCTCTCTGCTCTGACACTGCTAATGTATTAGTTACAACTACAACAACGTTCTACTTGATGCCACCTTTAGAAGATTATCTTGTTAATTCTACTGGTATAAACTAAAGCAACTAAAAAGCTAAGTGGTATCCAAAATGTATTTATTTACATGGCCACTCATCTCACACAAGTGACTCTGGACAGTATACAAGGATTAAAAACACACACACCCAAAATAATCCTTCCATGATATATATCCCAACGATCATCTAATTACATCATTCCAATATTGAAAGGAAGGGAAATTCAGTTTAAGAAGTTGGTTTTAATCTTTAAAATCCTACATGACTTTGCCTTTCTTCAATTGGGCACCTCCAGATGTGTCAACTTTTTTGGATGCAATCTATGAAAGCAAATGACAAACAGGACATCAAAAATTGGGGGAAGTACTTTTCAGAATTATTATTTGCTTATTGCTTCACAATTTGCCTTTGTTGTAAATGATGGTAAATTGGTAAACAGAATTTTTCCAAACAGTAAAATAGCTATTCATTGTGCTTGTGAATTCAAAAAATCTACTGAAAAGAGTTTAAGTACAATCTAAGTAATTATTACAAAATTTTGAAACTTGAAAGGGCATTGTTTTACTGAGTACCAGATGACAAATTATTTCCAGTACTTGCTTCTTCTGAAAATGTATAAAGTTTTGTTAGAATATTGTACAATGGCCTTTGCAGTGTTTTCAACATGTGTGTGGTTATGGACAAATCCTTCCTACATGAAAAATGGATTAGCTGAGCAGATACTGAAAATATTGTAAAAGCTACTGATCAAAGTCTATCTGATTCAGGATCTGCCTTAAGCAACCAGATATATTTCACACATTATTTTACTACATTTCTTGATTTGGGTTCATACAGGAAAAAAATTTTTATAGGATTAAACATTCCACCTCTCCCTTTAGGGCTTGAAATGCAGCATGCTTGCTTAGGAAGGAAGAGAGAAGCTTAAAAAAAAAAAAAGATTTGTGCATTTTGTACATAACACAGCACACTGAACAAACCACTTATTTTGGATCCTGTCAGCTGTCCCAAATAACCAGACAGGATATAGACTAGTTGAATTAACTCGACTTTATTGTAAAGCTACATTAACAGAATCATACAAGTCTGAAAGTGAAGATGGGAAGGCTGAAATTTTCCAACTAAGCTGAGCTACAGCTTCTTATCATTTTTATTTTCCAAGAAGGTTGACTCAGCCGTCCATCCTTTCGAGGCCAGTAAAATGAGGAGCCAGGTTGTTGGGAGCAATATATACTGATGTTGTAAACTGCTCAGAGAATGCTGTAAAACAGTGTGAAGCATATAAGTCTAAGCGCTATTGCTACTGCTATTATAGAGATTTACTTTCATAACCTTCCAAATTCTATTGCAGGAAATGTCTGAGTATAAGAGAATTCTATTCTGCTTAATGTTATTTTATTTTAGAATTATGTTGGTTACTGCATTTGGCAGGCATTATGCTATTTGTTTTTATTGTGTCTGATTTAGTGTCTCCTTGTGTGGAGAAATACTATTCTATTAAACTCAAGTTGGATAATGAGAAAAAAAAAGTAGACATTATAGGTCTCTTTTCTTGTTCTCTTACTGTCTTGCTCACTTTCTCATTGACAGCCTCAAGATTTTTAGTTTTCTCAACAGTTTATCTCTGGGTCCAGTAGTTCTGCTATTTGATAACAGTGGGACAAAAACAAAACTTCTCTTATCCATGATTTGATTGAGGATGAGGACAAGGGAGTTAGGAGAAGTTTCTGCTTTGTATTATTGATGGAAAAAGCTTTTCTACATCAGTACTACTTCATTATCTCAGTGCTATCCATGTGTAACTTTCTGAGTTTCCCCACTGCTTTTTCATTGTTCTTGCTTACTAAAAATTATTTAAGAGGTCTTTTGAATGAAAATATTGGAAACCCATTAGTTTGGAAGTGAATGGGATTCTAAGGCAACTAAAACCTTGAGTCCTCTGTATAAGATATATTTGCACAAATGTGTTGGGCAATGCCATTCAGTCTCTTACTTGATTTCAGTTTTAGAGTCTTTTGACTCACAATACATAAAGAGGGCGCTAAAAGAATGCAAAGCAAAGTGTCTGTCTCAACATCAGTTACATTTTTGGATATAATGGTAGTTGCATGCCAGTGTTTTATGGTAAGAGGAGGCACCTGCTTAGGAAAAGAGGGAAAAATAGGCTGAGGTGGCAAGAAGTATCCTGGAAAGCAGAAAGGAGAGATCAAAAGCACTCAATGCCTTGTTGCCAGTGGTTCAGTGAAAAGATCCATTGTGGTAGTCCAGAAATATTTTCAAAATATGAAATATGTTCTTCATTCAGACTGTGTCATTTATTAAGTGAAAGCACATAATTATTCTGCAAACTCAAGCAATAACCAAGTGTCCATTCAATAACACGATCAGTATTATTTGTTTCTGAAAATGTATTCATTTTTTTTTCATTACTAAATATTCTGAATGAATTTTTCTTAGGGAAAAAGAATTTATCTAACTAGCATCAAGGCTGTTTGTTACTAAAATTTAAAATATTGAGAACTTTCCCATTTTTCCTAAACCCACAGCATTGAATATACAACATTTGCATTTTTGAAACCGTATTATCCCATTTGGTGGAGATTCTGGCTTTGAAATACAGTAGATTGCTAATAGTCTTTGGAGAAAAAAAAACTCCCGGGCATCATGCAACATGCAACAAATTGCACCATGTTAAGCAACTGTAACAGTAAACACACTAATATCTATGCATCTTTAAGGAAAAATACATGAACAGCACATTAAGATCAAAGGAGTACAACTAGAACAGGACACTGCTTACTTCCAATAATATCCAGTCAGTTATTTCAAAGAAAACAACGTCACAAGATAGTAGCTTTCTCCATTGATTATTCCCAGTAAAAAGACCTTAATTTGTCCTGAGTGCCATCTATCCATTAGAACAGCAGAAAGAAATGTAAATAAGAATAAAAGTTTATAAAAACTATGGAGTAAAAATTATACATTTACAAGGTCCGCAGCATATAAGGAGAATGTTTTATTGTTGGCATTTGGCACCAATGAGATTGGCAAAGATGTATCCCAATATGAATCCAAGATGTTGGAAATATAAACAGAGCTTCTTCCACATGTGGTGGCTATGCCCCGAAGCCAAAAAAATATTGGGTCAAAATATGGAGTTGGTTACAAGAAATAACGAAATGTAAAATAGACTTCAAACCTGAACTGTTCCTTTTAGGAATAATTAAGGAGAAATGTAGTAAAAAGACCAAATACATGATATTACACATAACGACAGCGGCGAGGATTGCATTCACACAATGTTGGAAGCCAGATAGTATACCACCGGAGGAATTAGTAATCCAAAAGATATTAGAATGTGCTGAGATGGACAAACTCACTCTAGAGCTAAAAAGCAAAGAAGAGTCAGAGCACTATGAGCTATGGGATAATTGGTATGAATGGTTGAATAGTAGGAATAAGAATAGTAGAGATAAGAAAAATGTATATAAATGTATATAAATCTATGAAGTTTTGTATATGTAACAATGATGCCACAATGTTGTTAAAGATGATATGTAAATGTGAAAAAGCATAATAATAAAAAAAGAATAAAAGTTTATATTGCTTCTGGCAGGTCCATTTTATTTTGGTGTGATACATTGTCTTTGGTTAAATCTTTTAATTGAACCTTTTGAAAGCTATTGAAGGCACTGATGATCACCACTTATTTTTAATTGAATTCCATAATTTAATTGAGCCTAATTAATAGTATTTTGTTTAATCAGATCTAATCTATTATATTGGGTTACTTACTAGTACTAAAGAGAAGGCAGTTCTGTCAACTTTCTCTACTTCTAGTACAATGTGATTTTGGAATATAAAGCTATTATTATACTTTTCATGCATCCAAAAACTTTTCATGAGTTATGCAATAGGAAGAATCCATTTGTCACCAAATATACCTGTCAAGGAATCAGAATCAACAACAACTTCCATATCCATATTTCACAATCATTTATGTTTACATTTAAGGTTTTTTTTTAAATATCATGCATTTTTAGAAAGTGTAACACTTCTTTATATGTAGCAATATATCTTCCTTAAAATATGTTAAAAGGCTGTTTCCCTATTTGAAACTAGCAGAATTAACTCCTCACCCGCACTAAGCTTTGCTCTCTCTCTCTCTCTCTCCTGGGCCTAGAATTCCCAGGAAAAGAAAAAGGAAAAAGCATAGGTTCTGGGCCCTTTCTGAGCTTGGTCCTGGTGGCTTTGCCAGGAAAAGATGCGGGCGCCACCAAGAATAGGACAAACAATCATGAAACAGAGGGTTGTCACGAGACACGCTTATACATCCAATGAAAGAGAGTCTGGAAACGTCTCACAATTTCCCAAGAGAAACAACTTAATGCAAATGGAATTTTCGGCTACTGAATCAACAATCTGAAAGCTTAATTAGCCACAAAAACAAGAAATATCTGGGGTTTTTTGTGGCTTCAGAGCCTTTTCTTTGACTCCATCAGTGGCATCTGTAATCAACCAGCCTGGGCTGCCATGCAAACATTTTTTTTAAAGAACCATAGTTATTTATCTTTTTTTGTGACAGGTATGCCAGGAAAATACATAATATCATCTTTCATATAACCTCATTTTTTCCCTAACGCTGTCCCAAGTGAGACTAGCCTTTTGTTGAGAAATGGCTGAGATGTCCATTTTGCTCCTTCCACTAGATAGACCGAGAGGGAAAAAGTTTGGTTATCTGTTTATAAAAAGCATTATAAAGTCCATACCTGGGTGTTAAAATGATCTTTCAGCAGAGAAAGTCAGGAGGTTTCCAGAAATTTAATCCACAGCTTTAAGGGAAAGTAGATAGTTCTTGTTTTCTCTTCCTAGATGGAGAAGCCGGGCTGGAAAGAAACTTCTGTAGGCTGATGCAAGATGCCTTTGCGAGCAGTTTAGCATTCTGAGGATTCCTGGGACCAGGCCAGAAATCCCACAATCCAACATATTTCACATTTGGTTTCAATTAGGAAATGAAAAAGGAGAAAGAAAATCGCCAATTGAAACTCAGTTCTCTTTGGAGGCTCTTTTCCCTCACTCAAGGGAACTAAAGCTAAACTATAATTTACAACAAAGCTCATTCATTGGAGAGAAGAGAGCTATAGTGAACTGGCTCCAAGAATCTGTGTTTGCTTTTCAAACATGAAAAATATGACCCCTTGTTTTTATTTTTCTTCTGAGTTAGATAAACAATAAAAACAAAAGAAATTCTGTTCAGTGTTGGAGAACAGTTCTGGAGGAAAGATTTAAGTTATGGAGTTTAGTTTTAAGAAATACAAATATTGGAAAAAACTGGCTGGATGAATTTTTCTTTTTTGGTTTAAAGGCAGAAAGTTCACCCATTTGTCTTAAGATTACGGACTCCAACCCTGAGTAGCCCTTTCCCCCTTTACCTACTTCCTAAAAATGAACAGAATAGAAAATGAAATAAACAGGAAGATGCCAAAATAACAACAAAAGTGTATCTTGTATGAGTGAAATGGATAATGATATGAGATAAGATTAAATGGAAATGAAAGTATGATTATGTACAAGTGTTATAATCCAGAACCATGGTGCTCACGTGAAGAGATGTGTAAAATTAAAAAAAATTAAAAACTTTATACACATATATATAAAAGTGTATCTGAGGGTTTCTTATAAATTTATGTTTTAAAGTTTACATACTATTGTAATAAAGTTTGATCACATTTCATAGTAATTGTTCGTACACAATTTATGTCTGTGAACAACTCATTCATAAATTACAGTAACATCTAGTCTTTCTCTACCAAATAATTGGGGTACAAATTATCTTTCCAATGATGTTGAAGAAGAAATCTATTAGCAGAAATAGGTGAGGAATCCTTTTTTAAGATGAATAGCTTAATATTAATATGGCTTAATATAGATAACAAGATGCACCTTGTAAGGGCCCCTTTCCAGGATTACAGGAGAAGATGGTTGATAGTTTTGAAGGCAGAAGAGGGTTTTATGCCCCAAAGGCAGATAAAACGGTAGAACCATCTTCTAGGAGAAGGGAAACTCTGATTTCAAATCTCCACTGCCTTGTGGCTATATCTGTTATTAGAAAAGGCTTCAGGAGTCAACCTCAAGGCAAAATCCAGAGCGGGAGTCCTGGAAGCAGTTAGTGACTGTGTACAATCACATTCTGGTAACTCCTGCGACGCAGCTGGAACTAATCGTATCAGCTCTGCCATTCCATTAGACTATTTCAGTGACGTGGAGAGGGAGGATCTGCTGCTTGGGTAACAGTTTATCCTCCATTTTAAATTACCCAGGCCTCATGCTCTGGAGAGGACACTCCAGCTTTTCATCCAGCATTGAAACAACACGGGAAATGGCAGTTATCGGTTTCATAGCACGATACCATAGTCTCTTGAGACTGAAGGAGGCCAATTCAAGATGTAAAGTCTGTTGAGAAATCCTATTTGATCTTTAGTACCAAGGAAAAAGTAAGACTAAAGACAAAACGTAGACTAAATTTATCCCTTCCTATGCCATCCCATCTTATCTCATCTATCCTGTCCTATTCTATCCTCAAAATTTGAATGTTAAAATGTAATTCATAATTAGGTAGTTGAAAACATTTAGAAGTGATGACCTCTGTTAATTGTTGGAACAATGATAGGAATCAAATATGAAACTGTAAATGCCATTGAATATAAAGATTTTTAAAAATTACTGAAATATGCTAAAGTGTTAACATTTGGTTTGGTGGATTTGCTAAAAGGAGCCCATTGAAACAGCCCTTGCTCTGACAAAATACCATTTGCCCTGGAAATTCTGCTATTCCTGGAGAACATCAATATGGGTAAAAGGGTCACTCTAGAATGATATTACGTCCCAGGAAGATATGTGCTCCTAATGCTATAGTAACTCAGAACATAGGGCAGTGCAAATTCAAATATTAGAAATTCTAATGATAAGATACATTATGTTCTAGCTATTGATTATTGAGAAACATCATTCCATGTGGTGAATATTGTAATGCATTTACTGAATATTTGGCTGACATTGAAAGTGTTTCTGCCTGTTGAAAAAATGTGGTTGACAATCAGGAAGCCTTTTTAAATTCATTGAAATCAGGCAATATTCTCTATAAATTAGCAGGGATGGATGAATGGATGAATGAAATGAATGAATGTAAAATTCAACTGTGATTTTAACAAAGAGCTATTATCCTAACTATTTCACAGATGCTGTCATCTCTACCATCTTTGGCTTGCTGCCTTGCCAGCATCCTGGCATCAACTGTTAGGGGGGAGGGGAAGGAGAGCAAATGGGCAATAAACATGTATGGGACATTGATGGGAAAAAGAGAAGAGGGTTCACAGTTTAATGGAAACCAGAGGTGCAAGAAACCAGCCTGTGCCAGGCTATGAAGCTTGGGAATGGAATGTGGATTGCTCCAAACCTTGACGTGGTTCATAAAACACCATCGGCCAAAGGTGAATTGGTCAAGAGGGAAGGGCTGGGACGAAGGGGAGAAGTTTGTAACCTTTTGCATGGGAACTTTAGTTCTAGCATGCTTTTACTGCAGCCAGCAATCCTTAGTAAAAAAAAAAAAAACTCTATCACTTCAACCAAATGAAGTCGAAGGTCTTTTTTTCCTAGAGATCTAGGAAAGGAGCAGGTCTGACAGATGCGTCCTCATTGTGGGATTTCTGTAACACTGCTAATTTGACAAAGCACATGGGCTTTAGTGTTGAAGTATGGACACTCTGAGACATCTACAGTAAATTGAAAAAGGAAGGTGGTTAGAGAACAAGAGTTATCCCCAAAGCAGTAGCAGTGTAATTAGAGGAAAATTAAGAGTACTTTTAAATAATGATTTCAATAGCCCATATGAAGCAGCTCTTCTCAAGGTGCCCTTGAATCATTTCCATTGTGCTCATTACTTTAAGGAGTTAACCTTATAACCAAAATAAGATTAAAAGTCTACTATCAAATGTTTCACATAGAATACTTGTATCCAAGTTGGTTGCTTTCATCTTCCTTTCTCAAATGCTTCTTTTCTTTGTATTTTATTTGTCCTCCTGCTACTGTACTTATTTTGCTTTCTGAAGTATCTTCTCAGATTTGCTGCTCTGTGGAAATGGAATGACTTGCCAGAAAATTGGGGTCTACCTCATTTGACTGTCAGTCCAAGAGGCTTTATTGCCACTCCAACTACTTCAGGTTAGTGTTCAAAATTGCTGAGGTATCCTTTCCCCACATTGCTAGTTCCATGAAGAAATCTATGTTCTATCTTTTATTTGTACATCTGTGGAACAGATGTGCTACAAAGGATTTTTTTCACTTTGGATTTTCACCTATCATTTATTTTTAGAAGTGTCCACCATTATGCTTATGGGTTCTAATATAAAAGGAAGCCTTCACTGTTGCCCTCTACAAAGCAAAAATATGTGCTAATCAACATCCAAGTCCTTATTTGGGCTCAAATAAGATGAGCAGCATTATATTGTGCATTGTAATATGTGTCTCAAATACAGCAGATTCTTTCCAGGGCTTCTGCATTGCTGGGAATAAAAGAAAAAAAAAAACGGAACAATTTGCATTTCTTGCAAATGGGAATGAGAATGCATGAATGTCTTAAATACAGGGAACTTCTTACGATCTACCAACAAAAATTGTGCTTTGCAATCCAATCAGCTGACCGGGAGGAAGGTGGATACATACCCACTTTTGCAGGCCATGCAAGAAGTTTTTGAGAGTCGGATTTAGTCTCAGGAATTTGCTAATTTCAGCCTAGCTTGTTTCTTATTGCTGAATGTAACATTTTAGCATGTGATTCCAACCAATGGATTTTTTAAAAATCCTGCTTACACCACCACCAATCTATGTCCATATATCCATGGATCAAATCTGGCTAATATTTCTCCTACTATAACTATAAATAGCAATTGAAAATAGTTTCCAATTTCCCCCCCAAATTATTCATTCTTCCATATTTATTTAAACAGTTTTCCCATTTCACAGGAAATGCTATTTTAAATATACTTAATTCTTTACTCCAACGTTGCAACATACTTTTCACTCAGTTAAGTTTCATTTGGCAAACATATCCCATGCAGGATTGACCAAGTTCTTCAGAATGAGCAATTCTGAACACTGCAATTTCACATTTTAATTACATGTCTGGGTAAATGAGATGGTTCTTGTCTGGTTTTTGCCCATCGAAATGTTTTGCCTGCCATTTGAATTTCATAATCATATCTTTGAAAGCATTTTTCATGATACAGCTGAACAATATTCATGTAACTGAACTGTAGATCAATATTTACATAACTGAATTGTTAATAAAAGTTCACAGAAGCTGGCTATGTGAATTTATCTGCTATCAAGCAAAACATTTTGAACATGAAATTTTATCACTAGTGGCAGACAGAAAGTTAGAAGTACCAAGGAAGTTCATTTTAGGCCTATTATCATGCAACTGAATGTATTGATCTTCATGGATGAATCACATCTAATGCCCAAATTAATTAACTGACCATCCAACCCACCCACCCATCTCTTACAGAGTTTCAAAAAAGACCAGAAACTGTGTAAGGTCTGAGACTAACATAATTTTTGAAGTTTTGTGATTTATTTTAAATGCAGCTCAAAATCAAACTGAAAAAAAAAAATGAATAGGGTTTTAACCAGGGGTGGGATTCTACAGGTTCGCACCTATTCGCTAGAACCGGTTGTTAACATTCAAAGCAGTTCGGAGAACCGGTTGTTAGAAGAAATTACTGGCCTAATCCTGTAAGGAAGGCAGGAAGGAAACATTCTGGTGTTGTTTACAGAAACTGCCTCTCCGTTAACCCTTATTACGTTCTTGGCAGGACTAAACTTCCTGTCTCAGGAACTTCTCTGGAGTTTTTTTCCCCTCCTTTGCTGGTACTTTGCTTGTGTGGA